TTCTTCTATTCGTATCCGAAAAGTTGCATTTATAGTATAATATAAAAAGGCTGGGAGAGGGACCCCAGGACGAGTGATGAATAGGATACACGCTGACTTCTGAAAAAGCCAACCGTAGAATATTCCGGCGTTTATTTCTTTAGTCGTTAATGGCAGTGACACATTTACTCACTTATTATTATTTTTGATAGGGGACCCAACGATGGAGGGGTCGATATACGTTCATCTATTTGTGCGCAATTTAATGATATCCCATTGGCTTTTCAGTGCAAAAATTGGGATGATCAAATAGGTTTGTCTTGGATATTATGTTAATTAATATAATAAAGAATATATGTTAAATTACAGATAATATAGGACCCCACGTCGTCCGTGAGCTTAGAGGTGTCGTATGTGAAGAACGGCCAGGAACGATCGGTATCCTGGTGGGTCCCTGTGTAGAAGATTTTTCGAGTGATGCAGTGGATACGGCACGAACATCTAGTTATCCCATAATTTTAACCGATAAATCTCATCTCCCTATAATTCTCCTTAATCTCGCTATTGACATCAGTTTACGTAGACCTTTCGATTTTTCTTTTTATTACGACCTTATAACTAACCATTAATTTCGTCATATACACTCATGCTCTTGTCATTCTTTACATAACCATTAATTTCGTTTCTATCCTTGTTATTCCTTATATTACCATTAATTACGTTCCTATCTTTGTCATTCCTTTAATTTCAAATCTACCAAAGTGTGGTACATGGGTCACTCGAGCATTGACCTCCACATGGTGTGACTTGGATAACCAACTAACGAATGCTTGTTTTTATTTTTATTTTTGTATGTTTTAATAATTTTTAATCTAACGTATCCGATTTATTGATAAATACTAGTGTCGTGAATAGCGAAGTATCCTAAATCAAGATTAGCAAAATAACTCGAGTAATTTTAGACTGAATCTTTATTTTGTTTAAATGTGTCAATTTCTATAATGTGTTCTGTATTTATCCTGTACTTTATTTTTATTTTTTATATCAATAAAGCTGACCCTGGTGGCTGATTTCACATATATAAATGTGTTTACTTTTGCATGTGTATTTCGTGAATTTATTTTAATGTATAATTATCGATGTAAATTACGAGCATATGATCGAGAATTTTTAAAAATTTGTCCTAGTAAAAGTGGTCGGCGTGACAAATTGTCACGCGCACATATTTTTTTATTTGAAATTAAAAGCATTAACTATCAAGAAAAAAATATTTTTCAAAACGTGTACTGTAAAATTCTTTTTCCAAACGTTATATAAATTAATATCAAACATGCAAACTCAAAGAGGCGAAGAGGCAAAGTCTCGAGACTATGTCTCATCTAAAGACTTATCCGAAGTCGATTCATTAAAACTGGAAAATATTAGGCTTATGACTAGAATCGCAGAATTAGAACAAATAGTAAAAGAAAAAAACGCACTTGAGACTGAGCTAAAACAGATTATAGAAGAAAATGCTGAGAAAGCAAAGCTAAGAGATGCTGAGCTCAATGCAAGAATCATGGAACTAGAACGGTCAGCAAAAGAAAATGAAAAACGATTTGCAAAATTGGAGCAAAAGCAAAACAATAACGTAGATAGATTAGAAAATGGCGATAATTCATCCAAAAATAATGTTAATATACCCGACCTTGTTATAAAATCGTTAGAGGATAATACTCCTGCATCTGATATAACTGATGACGATTTAAGTTCTGATGTATATCAGGGGTCGAAGATTCAATGCTCCATATCATCCATTCATACAGAATCTAAATCGCCAGAAAATAAAGAGATCGAATTTCTGGATCGGGTACATAAAGAACGGATTAGTAATGAAATAAAAGAAAGGAATCGGGAAAAGAAGTTTAGATCCCAAGGTTTATCTTCGGATAATAATTCATCAGAACAGTCTAATTCATTATATAATGTAAAAACTGTTACATTGGAAACGAATTCAACGGAGGTAAGTGAGGAAGAAACAAAGCCTCGGATTTATGACTCATTAAATCTGAATATTTCAGAAATAAGCTCCGAGTCCAAGTCACCTACTAATCTATTGCCTAATCAGAAAATTCCTTATAATCAAAAAGTAGAACAAGGTTTAAGACTCGAGCTATCTATTTGCACCAAAGATAATAATCACAAGAATAATAAAGTATTTGATATTCAAATTCCTGAATTTTCTTTAGAAGCGATTTTAACAGGATCTGGTAAGGTTACGTCACAAAATATAGTTAATCTATTTAGGGTAGCAATGAAGATTCGACAAAAGGAAAGTTTGTGCTGGTATTGTTATTACAAAGCATACGAAAACCGAGTCAATGATGTTAAGACTGCAAATAATATTGATGACCAATCGGCAAGAACGATAGTGTATAATGAAATAAAATCGCTCCTTCCTGATATCACTGATGTAAACTTGCGTAAAATAACTTCCAGAGCAAAAAAAGCATATATATTATATGAAGGAATAGGAATTGATAAAATTAGTCAAATAACTTACAGCGCAAGTGCTATTTCAAGTTTAAAGGATAATCAAATTCAAAATATTATAAATGATTTTCCCAAGACAACTGATATGAGTTGCCAAAAAGTGATCGGCGTGACAAATTGTCACGCGCATATGTCAGATCTATCTAGCTCAAACGATTCATCAGCAGAGTTGGCACTGTCAAAATTACCAGAAATTGAGGTAAGTGAGGAGGCCAAGAAAACTCTACTGGAAACTGAGGCAATCCATGACCATACTTACTTTCGTAATAAGATATTGTGGAGTTATTCTGATCTATATAAAGAATTTAGTAGTGCAAAATTTGATTATTATGGAATTCATGAGGGGTCCTTATGTCTAGTATGCAAGCACAGTCATGAGGAAGGAAAAAGTGTAAAGGGTAGATACGAAGCTGGATCTTATTTTATTAAATGTGGAAAGCATGAAATCGAGATAACAGCATAAATCATAAAGACATACTGCCTTCAACAAATTCTCCGGTTTCAAATGATCGTAAATATTAACTATATTATTTTTTTAGTTACTATTTCGGGATATGCACAGAGTGTCAGCACGTAAGTATCCTTGTTATATAAGTAAGACAAAGACACGACTCATACTTAATTTGAATTTGTGATCGTATAAAACAATAACATGGATAAAGTCTTGACTCCTGAATATTCGGACTGGCATGCTAATTTAGTTGATTTACCAAGTTCTCAGACAGATAAAATTCGTTTGAGCTTATATAGAGCATATACGGAAGAGACTGGACTCGATCCTTGGATAAAGTCTGAAACTCCCGAATCCTCACAAATCGAAAAGGATGCCGAAAAAAAGATGTTATTTGTACCACAGATAAATGTTCAGCCTACACCATCCAAACTTCGATCATCAATTTCTATTCTACCTAAAGACCCGGAAGAGAAACAAAAACATGTTATTAAAATAGTATTAGAGCGATTTCCTTATTTAACTTTGAAACATAGTTTTAAATATAGTAATTATTTTGATTTTAATAGATCTGTACTCTGTCCTATATGCAATAAAGACCATAAAAAAGAAAATATAAGAAATCATATAGAGGGTACTTGGGGTAGTGGCGAATATGTCAATATAAAAACTTATCGTCTCTATTGTTATATAAATAAATATCAGAATTTAATCCCAATAGTATCCATAAGAGCATAGAGCCGCCTTCTCGTTCTTTGAACTCGAAGCCAGATTATAGATACTGTGTTAATTTATTTTCTGAAATATATAAACCGACCATGAGAGGCGAAGCCTCATTACTATGTAATACGAACAAAGTGAAGTGAATTGTCGGGAAAACTAGGTATAACTTTATTATCACCACTAATTAATAATCGCAAATCGCATTACAAGAATCACGTAAAAAAATAAACAATTGGGAGCGGACCCCCCTTCTTTATTTAATAAAAAATTGCCAGGACGACAATGTAAAAATAAAATATATATATATCGCTGTTACAGATGCGAATACAAATAAAAATTATTTTTTTGGTGAGGAGAGTACATAAATATGAACACCATCAGAGGGACTATTAGGAAAGTCTTCAGAAATTCTACACATTGGTTTGATAACATGACCACCCGGGGATAGAGAAAGACGGATTTTAGTAGAAGGAACGGAATTGAAAAAGGGTGCCAGGCGGTTTTTTACCATATCTTTGACCAATTCATACTTTTTATCCTTAGAAATCTCAATTGTAAAAATTTCGTCTTCGGAGTATGTTTTATTATCGTCATTAAGGAGGACACAGTTAAGGTTAATAATTGCCATTTTGGGGACTCTGCAAAAAATAAAAACCCATAGTTAATAGAAAGTAACGAAATAAAATCTCTTGTATAAACAATATATGATAACCGGACCTTGGAAGTAAATTGCGAATATGTAAAATTTTTTCAAAGACGACACGGCAAAATATATATATAAGAGCAACGTTATTGCTACCTAACTAATCTTATGGGCGGGAACTTGCTTATTTTATACCGTTCATTCGCTAGATCTAAAAAACAGACTAACAGAAAAAAATATACGATTAGTAATTATGTTACCCTAACACAATCTAGATCCTGCTACATAAAGCAACTCCGCTCGGTCATAAGTTCCAAACACTGAGCCTATTTTGTTATTTTTTCTGGTAAAATTAACCCTCCTTAGATTCAACGATCGCTTAAGGTGGGTTTAGATCTGACGATCTCGGGAGATGGCGGAGATTCCAAATCCCTGCGACATATGAATTTGGATAAAACTACTGATAAAGAATGTTATACTCATTACTCTTATAGTCTTTTTAAGTCCCATTCTTATCGCAGAATTATATATAAGGTAAGAAAGGTTCTAATCGCTATTCATCATTAGCACTACTTATTAACTTATTAATAAAAAATCGACCGTGAGAATTAATTCTGCGTTAAGGTAACACCGCATAAAATTTAGACCCTTTGGGTCATTGCGAAGCAATAATGCGGGCCAGTTTTAATCTGTATGATTCGGCGAACCATCACGGAACGATCACGGAAAATTTTTATTAAATTTATATGCGCCATCACGGAACGATCACGGAAAGTCGCATGGGTAATTAGAAATATTCAGAAATTTAAAATTCTAAATTTTGCTGTTATTACAGAAATAAATTTATATGTATCAACAGTTGATACGTAGAACGTGGTTGCATTAAAATAGCGCACATGTATTTACGAAAACAAACCTGCTAAATATATCGAATTTTAGTTCCAAAAATCGTGATGTATGTTGATCGAGCATCCCGCATAATGCTTGTGACTGAACAATCTAATCGGTTGGGATGTACGAATATTTATGGCTTTTTGTTAAGCCACTACCTCTTGGCTAAAATAGCACATATATATTTATAGATAATTTGAAGCCCACAGTCTAAAATAATGCGCTATTAATTACATTCTTTTTTAGGTAAACCAGTCCCACGAATCTTCACGGCCCCCCGCATAGTTTTTTATGAAACGTCTATTCTAAATTTGTAGGTCTCGAAAGTGCTGTCGAATGATTACGGTGTCAAATATAGCAATTTCGTGTCGAATTATCGTAGCGCCAAATGTAATTAATTACCGGATAGCCTGTTATTTATATCCGGATATGGTGTGATGACATAGCCACACGCATGTATGTATAAAACCCAATTTTTTCGATAATCCATACCATAAGCTAATATTCCACCTTGCACTAGATTGTCTTCATGTCGATAAGGGGATTGCTTGAGTTATTTGCACGGGTTCGTGGAATTCAACAGAGCCATGATAGTCCTGTGCTTTAACGAAGGTGATTTGTCTGGTCCATGAAAATACACAATCTAACCGTATCTTTAATATGTAGTCGTCTCAGGATCCGACTATTACCTCTCTGCAATTTACTTCTTCTCCGATAGTCATGCAAAAAATTTCGTCTATAACTTTAGGCGATAGGGCCTCTGACTATGCATAATCTTCTCAGGTGCAGTCATTACTTTTCAAAGTGGGCCCGGGATCCGACTGTTACCTCCCCACAATTTATTTTTTTCTATGCTTATAAAAACCCAATTTTAGAGGGCGCGATCGTCAAATTATCATTGTTTGCGTAGTA